TTTGTTCTGATTTGATTTGAATTTTTCTGTTCTGGTTTGATATGATCTGATTTGGGCTAATATGCATCAAAGATGCATGTGTTCATGGTTATGTACATTCATGTCACTATAGTTTGTTCTGCCTAGCTGTATCTAATACTTTGGTTTCTAATAATACTTTCTATTGTAAAATCCACGCCATTGCTCCATCCTAATTATCTCTGTAACCAGAATCAAAATTCAGTTTATGTATTACGGAGTACATTATTTTTTACTTATTCTTCTCGTTTGAAGTCCTATATGGTAAAAATCGGACGGGAAACAACCCGAGCAAATGATTGGATATTTGATCTCATGTGATGTGCAGTTTATATTGTTGGAAAAGTGTGTTAAAATTGTATTAAATGGTCATTTTGGGGCAATTTTTTGAGTGGGGTCCACTTCCGATTTGGGTCGGGTCAAAGTGGTTTCGGATTGTCATTGCTTAGAGCTACAATTCGATATATGGTACGCTCAGAATGGATAACGGGTGAATGAGAAATCGCTTTTCGAAGTTTACCCGTTGGAATGGAGAAAACTAGGCAAAAGTGGGTTTTAGTGTGAGTTTTTCCCACACCGAAAATCATAAGGGAATTTGAACCTTTTATAAAGGGAAACCCCCCCTAAGGAGTTAAGCTTCCTAAAGGGAAAGACTCCTAATGTTGTTGGGCAGAATGCTTTGAACGGTTTGAACGATAATCACTCTGAAAGCGGAGCTCCGGTGAACAATAGTTCACAATGCGGTGCATCTGCTTTGGTTAACCAAAGGGCTATCCCTATGGTGACCGTGCCGAGCAACTCTGTGGAGAAACCCGAAAAATTTAATGGGTTAAACTTCAAGAGGTGGCAGCAAAAGATGCTCTTCTATCTCACTACTCTCGGTCTTGCATGTTTTTTGACCGAGGACGCGCCAGTTGTAACCGGGGGTGAGGTGGATGCGCAATCTTTCAACGCGGTTGAAGCATGGAAGCATTCTGACTTCCTTTGCAGAAACTACGTATTTAACGGGCTGCATGATGCTTTGTACGACGTGTATAGCAAATTAGCTACGGCCAAGGAGCTATTGAATGCTTTGGACCACAACTATTGGATGTCGGTGCAAAGAAATTTGTTGTCGGTCGATTCCTTGATTTTAAAATGGTGGATTCGAAGACGGTCTTGAGTCAAGTTGAAGAAATGCAAATGATATTCAATGAAATTCGAGATGAAAGAATGACAGTTAGTGGGTCTTTCCAAGTGGCGTCAGTTATACATTTGTTGCCGTGTGCGGGCGACCTGCACACACGAATGCCGTCCGAAAATCTATCTTTTAAAGATAACGTTAATTTTTGTTCTTCCGGTACGTTCTTATTTTTTTTGCTCCATGCTGAACTGGAACGTTGCAGCATAAATGCCCAACGTCTTTGTACCTTAATGCAACGGGTTTGGACAGCTTTCTTGGAGAATCAATTCCAGCATGCTGCCATTGAAGTCCCAACGTTCATATGAACGTTTTGGGCTGTTTATTGGCTAGAATCAATGCCCAACGTTTAGGACATTGATGTCCAACTTTCACAAGCCTTAAACAACCATTAACACACCATAATCCAGCCCTATAAAAGGTTAGCAGGTGCTTTGCAAACGACACACGTTCATACACTTCGTACACATATTTTCAGAGCTAAAACCACCTCTAACATTCCATAAAAACTCTTCTGTGTTCTGAGCTTTGTTCACGTTCGTTGGAATTTTAGTTTGAGTGCTAAACTATTGATCGAAGTCATCGTATCCTGGGAGACGATCGTTGCAACGCTCCTAGCACCCCGGGAGGCAACAAATACGTTTTAAGGAAATCATACGTAGCACGAGCTTTGGCTTATTCTGCTTCATCTCATTTCTTGTTTTTCTTTAAGTCATTTTATTTAATTAATTTTCTTTGTTTTTCAACACACCCAACATATATACGGACTACTATCGTATATGCCGTTCTCGATGAATTTAACACCCACCAGTATGCATGCACACACATACTATACACATAATCTAAAACCTCAATCCATAATAATTATTAAATATAAAAAAAATCATTAAAACGTGTTAAGTTCATTCACCTAGCAGTTCAACTTCAACACTTAAAAATTTAGTTCTACACAATAGTCTATATTTCAGAAAGTAATTCTTAATTTAGAAATTAGCCTTCACTTTCAGCTCGTAGTGTTAAACATAACTAAACATAATATGATTTAATCTATTCAAATCTAATCTTTTCTAATTTGATCTGTATAATGTCTGTCATTTAGGATTTGGTTTGATCTATTATGAGACCTAAATCCATTCAAATGAAAACAATCTAATTGTAAATATCTAGACAATATAAATATTTGGGTAAATAGAATGTATATGAATGTTAATATAAATATCAGCATGCATATGAATATTAATGTGTATGAATTTAATAACAGGATTAGGTGATTGTCTTTGGAGCATAAGTGCCTAGCACAACTCTTCTTGTTCATGCCTAAGGTTTCTTTCTCAACCGGATTCGTGCGTGGCTATGTGGGTTGTGGGAGATAGCAAGCGTTGTATTGATGATTTCTATGATTAAAGAATGTCTTGAAGTGCTGTCACAGCTCGGACCAACTATCGGGAATTTGGGAACTTCTAATCAGAAAAAACGAAGGATTGATTGTTTGTTCCCCTCGTGAACCTCCGCCAAAGATTGAGACATATATATATGCTAGAGATTGAAAGATAATGGTTCAAATATGGATTTTGGCACCTGAAGAATTTTTAATTTTCTGTGTTTAATTTTTTGTTTTGTTAGATTCCGTACGTCTTTGTTTTTGCTTCACTTTGGAGTGTTTAATAATATTTCTTGTTGGATGTTACTGGTGTTGTTAGAGTGTCTACCACTCCGGTCAAAAGTTTTGTGGCTTCAAAAGTCATATTTATCTTCAAAGCTCTTACATAATTAGCGAATTGGCATTCTCATTTGATGGTGACATATTCTCTATCTAATCATATAGCGGAGCATCTTTGAATTTTAAGTCTAGTGAGAGTTTGAGTTTTGAGTTTGAGTCTATACACTCTTGATGAAAGTTTATTTTAATATCACCGATTTGCTTTAGAAAAACTCATCTTATTGATAATCAATATTGTCGCATGTCAATTGTCAATTGTCATACTATAGTTTTTTCTATTCATGGTTCCTTCGCTATACTTTCGACATCTATGCATGGGCGGATCTACTATTGATCCAAAATGTTCACTTGAACACTCAAAACTTTTAAAAATGTAAGAATATACACCAATAAATTTAATATAATTATTTAACGTTCACTAAAATTTTAATTGTAAAAACTTTTGAACACCCAAAATGAGAATACTAAGAGGCCGTTTGAACAACTATTTTTCGGCTTATCAGGCTTATCAGCCAACTTTTTCACCAAACACGTAACTTTTGCTTTCGCGAGCTGAATTGTGTAATAAGCACAAAAAGTAAGGTTGGAGTTACTTTTCTTATTGGCTGAAGTTACTATAGATGACCATTTTAGCTATTTTTACATATAATTTTTTCTTTATTCTATTAATAAAATATATTTTAAAAATAATTTTTTCTTAAATCAGCAGAATCAGCCAATGCAGCCAGAACTTCATAAATTTCAGCAGAAACAGCCAAATTAGCCGATTTTCGTGCTACCAAATGGGCTCTAAGTCCGCTACTGCAACTATGGTGATTTCAAACACAAAAAGTATAGTTTGAATTAACTTGAAGGGCCACATTGGAGTTAAAAGAATATTACATCAGTCTCGTTGGGTATTGACAAACTTGTGTTAGGACTAAAATAAAAAAATGTGTACTTGGGAATCACGCAAATAAGAGAGAAATTAGGAGAACCACGAATTCTTTATTTTAAAAAGAATATGAAGAAATTTGTGGGCTAGGACAAACAATCAAAAGTTGATAGAAAAGCATGGAAGCCAGAAATACGAACCAACTACGAGATATATATCTTGAACCAAAAGTAGGAAGAGCCAGACATTCCTGAAAATTAAGTTTATTGAAAAAAATAGAAGAAACGGTCTGTCATTGCCATTATTAGGCATTTAGGCTGCACATGCGTACACATTCTATTTCAAGATTGATATTCTCATTTATCTCATTTGAGGTTTCACCGGCGCCCAACTCTATTAAAGTATTACTCTATCCTTATCTTTTAATAAGAATTTAATAACATCTAATTTACGTTTAGAGAAAATTATAGATTTAATCATGTAACTTATTCATTTATGGATGTGGTCGGATATTAAAATAACTGACAAGTAGACAAGTAGTAAGGCTATCTGCATTACGGATCTTTCAACCCAAGTACACAATTAACTATTGTAGTAAGTCTATCTCCATTACGTACGTGACCTATTTTGACACATTCACAGTATATTTTCTCAAAATTTGACATCTTTTCTAAAAATGCCATGTTTTTATACGACAATGTCATGATTATTTTGTCTTTCATATCGAATGACATTTCGTTGGAGGTTTCAAGCACTTGTCTTAGAGCAATAACTTCGTCAGAGGATGGCACGACGAACATAGTGACAAGCGGCAGGGGCTTGTTGGAGGGTGGATGAGGTCTAATGCATTCACTTCTCACACAACATAAACATCAAATCAAAAGAATTGTGCATCAACAGATCGAAGGACTTACTCAGAGTCTAGGAAAAGTTTAATTTTTCACTAAGGCTAATTTTGTCATGTTAGCACACTTTTAATCCTATATAAGATATACTAAGTAGGTACTAAATCTTATTTGTGCACTTTTATAATGCTTCAATACTTCTTCTTTCCCTCAAAATTTGACTAAATTTCATTTTTTGGTTGTCCGACTAATTTTTTCATTTTTTCTTTTACGTAAAGAATTTGTGATTTCAGTTAATTCTTTTTCTTCTCTGCACAAACCGTGATGAATCATACAATTTTTAGTTTATTAATCATCGTGTCCGTCTAAGTGGTCAAGTTTTAAGGGAGGAAAAGAATATTGTTTAGGGATTTTCTCCACATTTATTCATATTATTACAACTTTTCTAGCATATTTTATTAATACCGATTAGGGAGATAGAAGCCACCATATTTCCTCACAGCTTCATCACTGGTAATCACCGATCCAACACCATTGTAGTACCCCATCGCCGCCGGTGCAGCTGGCCGGAGATTCCCATATCGCCGCCTTGCTTCATTGCTGTCCATCACATTAACATAGCCTCTCTGCTGCTGTACTGGAGCGATCTGACCCCACGAATTTGTGGTGACAGAGTTATACCCAAACCCACCGTATCGCTTCGGCGACGGAGCAGGCGGCTGCCGGCTGCCGGAGTTCATGCCCCATCCGTAATTTTGCTTCCCACTGCTCCATGGTGATTTCCCGCCGCCGCCGTCAGATTTCTTCGTGAGATCTTTGTTATCCGCCGCCGCCGCCTGATAACCTCTGTTCTCCCCGGACCCGTCATCGTATTTGGTCAACGGCCTCTGGCGGTCGTTGATGGTCAACCTCTCGAGCTGTTTAAGCGGCGGCTGGCCGGAAGTATATCTCTGGTCCTTGCCTTTCTCAACATGTGCAGGAGAGTCAAAGTCAACGCCATCTTTGACTTTAGCTTCACCTTCACCCTCCTCTGTAACTGCTGATGAACCGTAGGATGAGCCGTCGCGGGTATTGGGCCTCGGCCCAGAAGCCCAATTCGGGCGGCTCGGTTCTTGGCCGCCATCACGGCGACCACCGGCGGGAGGAGGCGACTCTTCGTCGGCGGTCTTCCACGAGGACCTCCTCCCCCATGTCATCGGCTTATTGGTGGTAGTTGAGGGCGTTGAGCCACCGGAAGATGGGCCAGCCTTTACGGCAGCAATCGCCGCCGCACGATATCTGTTGAAGGTATCCTCTATATCCTCTTCGGGGGTATTACCTGTTGGAAAAATGGTTTACAAATTAATATTTCAATAGAAATTGTGCCCCGCACACGGTGAGCGTGAAATTGCACTTCACTCGCCGCCGCCGTTGGCCGGTCGGGTTGGGTAGGGTTTCGGGTACGGCCGGTGTGTACCCACGTGGGTTTAAGACTTAAACATGATTTTGGTAAAATTAATTAATTTCGGATAAGGCAACACTTAGAAGAAATGTTGTCACCTTTTTCTAAATATGTGCCTTTTGGGATTAGGGAGTGTTTGCAACTGCTTCTGTTTAAAAAAAAGCACTTTTGGAGATGTAATGAAAAAGTGATTAGTAGTAAAAGTTGATAGTGTTTGAGAAAAAAGTGATTTTGAAAAGTAAAAGTTGGTAGTGTTTGGTAAAATAAGTGCTTTTTGTGTAATAGAAAAGGGAAAAGCACTTTTCACACGCAAGCCGAGAAAAAGTAAAAATTGGAAGTGTTTGGTAAATAAGTGCTTTTCTAAGCCAAAAGCTGAGAAGTGCTTTTTTTTAAGCAATTGCAAACACTCCCTAAGGGACCTGCATTTTTGGCTCCTGACCATAGTACTTATATCCCTATTGGCTCCTGCATTTTTGACGAGACAATCATAAGTCCGATAAAACACAATAAAGTCTTCTTCATCTTCCTCATCCAAAACTCCATCATTCTAGTGCATCGTTTGGTTTGCCGGTGTCCTTCGGGAACGAAAAACAGTTCTATTCAGAGAAGCGATTGCTACTTGTGTTGTGGGTAAATTCGTCTTAAGGAGACAATGATTCATAGGTCCGGTTTTATCCAAGTATTTCTAATTACTTCTTTTTTATTCAATTAATGCATGCATATTTATTTGATATTTAGATAACATTACCGTCATTTCCCACGCCTGCCGGTCGCTCGATGTTCACCGGCACACCGTCAATGAAAAATTGATGGTTGACCACGGGTCGGGCGACGGCGGTTTCGGCCTTCATGGCATAGAAACACTCCCTTAAACATGATTTTGGTAAAATTAATTAATTTCGGATAAGGCAACACTTAGAAGAAATGTTGTCACCTTTTTCTAAATATGTGCCTTTTGGGATTAGGGAGTGTTTGCAACTGCTTCTGTTTAAAAAAAAGCACTTTTGGAGATGTAATGAAAAAGTGATTAGTAGTAAAAGTTGATAGTGTTTGAGAAAAAAGTGATTTTGAAAAGTAAAAGTTGGTAGTGTTTGGTAAAATAAGTGCTTTTTGTGTAATAGAAAAGGGAAAAACACTTTTCACACGCAAGCCGAGAAAAAGTAAAAATTGGAAGTGTTTGGTAAATAAGTGCTTTTCTAAGCCAAAAGCTGAGAAGTGCTTTTTTTTAAGCAATTGCAAACACTCCCTAAGGGACCTGCATTTTTGGCTCCTGACCATAGTACTTATATCCCTATTGGCTCCTGCATTTTTGACGAGACAATCATAAGTCCGATAAAACACAATAAAGTCTTCTTCATCTTCCTCATCCAAAACTCCATCATTCTAGTGCATCGTTTGGTTTGCCGGTGTCCTTCGGGAACGAAAAACAGTTCTATTCAGAGAAGCGATTGCTACTTGTGTTGTGGGTAAATTCGTCTTAAGGAGACAATGATTCATAGGTCCGGTTTTATCCAAGTATTTCTAATTACTTCTTTTTTATTCAATTAATGCATGCATATTTATTTGATATTTAGATAACATTACCGTCATTTCCCACGCCTGCCGGTCGCTCGATGTTCACCGGCACACCGTCAATGAAAAATTGATGGTTGACCACGGGTCGGGCGACGGCGGTTTCGGCCTTCATGGCATAGTAGTTGTTTGAGCCATCACCGGCGGAGTAATTATCAGGGGAGTAGTAGTTCCTTGTGAAGGTTGAACGTTGACCGCCGGCGGCGGCCATGAATGGTGGCGGTTGGCTTCGCTGGTTAAGATATTCGTCATCTCCGGCCGCCTGCCACCGCCCTGCTGGATTGCCGTGAGAATCATCACTATACCCGTACCCTATCACCATTGATCACCTTAATGTGTTGGGGGCAGAAGGCGAAGTACAAGTTCTTTTTATTTATTTATAACTTCTACGAGCTAAGGTTTTTCTTCTTTTTCTTGTGATTGGATGATGATGAAACTATTATGTATGAAGCCACTCTATTTAAAGAGCGAGTGTGTATGTTGTAATGTTGAAGCGAAGCATATCTGATATCCCCATATGCTCTACTATTCAAGCTTTTCTCTCTTTAATCACAAGAGATTGAGAGATGCATCTATAAAAAAAAGGATAATTGATCGGATGAATTGAATTTAAACGTCAGTGATGCCGTCTCCTGGCTGTATATTCGTTGAGCTCCGTGGACGTTAGTCTGTCTTTAATAGAAGGTCAAGCAACAACATTTTTTGAAGATGTTTTCAGTCACTAAAAGTTAGTCTGTCTTTAATAGAAGGCCAAACATACCCATAATACCCATAATAGTTGCACCTTTCATCTATTGTTTCGTAATAAAACATATACTGGTAACACTTTTGCCATTATTAATTATTATTACTTCGTACGGAGTATAAAAAATTGAAAATGTGACGGTGCCAATTCAATGTTTATCATTAAGGTTGTCAATAAATAAAAACAGTAAATTTTCTCCCCTTGAAATCTAATTAACCTGGAAGGTGCTACTGCCAGTATGACTGCTCTTTTATTCTTGTCACACATTTAGAATTGTCTTTTCTTTATACAAAATGGTTATGGTCATAAGTTTTCTCTCCAAATCTTATTCTTCCAACTAGCTAGATCATTTAATTAGCAAATTAAAATTGAAACGTTGGTAGTATTATCTCCCTTTGTCTCATAAAATTTTTCCCACTTTGACTTGGCACAAAGATTAAGAAAGTGGAATAAAGTGGAAATGCATAGTTGTGGTTGTGTAAGAAAAATGTGAAATGAATGTGAACCACACAAATTGTCCAAAAATGGTAAGTGAGAAGAGTTTTTTGGGACGGTCGAAAAAGGAAACTGGAAAGAATTTTATGGGACGGAGTCACGGAGGGAGTATTAGACTATTAGTTACATGCGTACGTATATATATATAGCTTGCATATTTAATTTGTTACTTCTTTTGTAACATTCATATCTTCCCACTTTCCTTTTTTGGACGTAACATTTATATCTTCTCATCATACCTTTAATAATTTAAAAAATAATACACTACCACACCTACTTTTTTAGATTTATCCTTCATTCCATCACATTATTTCACCATCTTTCCATTATATCCTCAATAATTCATACCCCATTTCACTATTTTTAATCTCACCCACTTTGGAAGTGGGAAGATATATGTGATAGGGAGAGAGTATTCTTTGTATTTATCATTTGTAATGGAGCAGTTATTGCTCTTGCTTACGTATAGGAGTAGTCTTCTATTGATTGTAACAAAACGTAGGTCGTAGCCCCCAGAGTAAATGTGTATATATTATTGGATCGTTGTACACATGAGAGGACACGAAATAAAAGACTGGTTTTTCAGCCACCGATTTCTTGTTTAATTAACTTTATACTAGTCGAATCAATACACATAATTATACGTAGAAAAAGAATAAGCACCACCGCCTCCATCTTTTTATATTACGTACAAAAAAGAGTTCTTTCCACACGCGCGCGCACGCACTTAGTGTTAATATAGATTATACGTAGTACGAAGTATATAGTTATATATGTTTGGATATATTTTGAATTCATATATCCAACTTAACGGTGATGATCAAAAAAAAAAAAATCCAACTTAACGGTGGTAATTAAATGACTAAACGACAATTCCTTTATATGAAAAAAGAACCACCGCTAGAGATAATGTGCATTTCTTATCTTAAAAGCTTATAATCCTCAATGAGGGTTAGGACATTTTAGGGTTGAAAAAAATGTTGGTGTAATCATCTAGCTTAATAGGGCTGTACAATGTGTTTTAACATCTGTACCATGTAGCTTATTTCCGTCTCTAAGTGCTCCCATCCGTTACATCTCCGTCTCTCAACCATCTAGCTTACATACACCGTCCGTTTTCTTCTTCTCTCCTCACCCAGTCCTAGCTATCGCCCAGCTGCTCGCGCCCTAACCTCACCAGCGACCATTTCCGTATGGTGGCGCTAAACATCCCCAGCTTTGTTGTCATTCCGTCTGGAGGCTAACAAAGACAGAAGTGTTTGATGACCGGTTAATGCTAAACGGTATGTGCCTTTTCATCTTCTCTGCTCTTCTCTTAGAAACATACGATGTAGTCATGTAGATTGATTTGAGTGTATTTGTTCTTGCATTTGTCAAATTATATATGTCTACTCTTGAATTTTGCAGGTTTATCAATGTCTTTGATTTTGTAGAATTCCATGTTTAGGCTTTTGGTTCAAAGTTGTTGATTGCTAGAGGTAAAGAAAGGGCATTAGGTGTTTGTTAAATTGTCTAATGAGATTCATCACACCAATTTTTGGATGCTTTGGTCATTGTCTATGCCACATATAGATAATGTTAGTTTTTTATTATAAAAAATGTTAGTTCTTGTTTGTCAATTTGTAGAATTCTATGTTTAGGCTTTTAACTCTTGGAGTTGTTCATTGCTAGAGGTAAAGAAAGGGCATTAAGTGTTTGTTAAATTGTCTAAACGAGATTCATCACACCAATTTATGGTTGCTTTCATCATTTCCTATGCCACATATTCTCCGTCTAGCCTAGCCCGAAAGTATGGTAAAAAATAATTTCTGGCGCACTCGGAATTAAAATTTAAAAACTCTTAAAGTTTGCACACTGGCGCATTTTAGGTGTGAGTAAGAAATAGTTATTGAGGATGAAGGGGTTACTTATGTTTATCTCATACGGAGTATATTAGTTCCTTACGAATTCATAAAGGTATACAACTTACAAGTGCATGTAAGAGAATGGTTATATTTGTTGTTTATAAACTTAGCACTTAGCCTACATTTTATTCGTGTTCTGTACAATGTGTGTGGGGATGAGGGAATCAAGGTTTTAAGGTACTCAAGAAAATCAACTTCTGTTGATTAATTTTGTTCACATGGGATAATTTATTTGTCCATTATTGGGATAATTTAGTATTCTACTATTATGTCGCATGGGATAATTTATTTGTTCACTATTGGGATAATTTAGTATTCTACTATTATTTCCACATGGGATAACTTATTTGTTTACACTTTACGGTTGTTAATTTTCAATGTTTTCCAATTCGAATAGATATAATATCCAATTGAGAAACATCTCATTCTAGACTTTTGTAGGCTATTGTTAAGTGGATGTTGAGCATGCCCTAGGTCCTACATTGGCTGAGGCTATTGAGGTAAACACCGGGAATTTGCTTCTTTGCCAGCCAGACTATGGTGAACATGCACTTAGCCTTGTGGATACTCTAGCCAGGAGTGGCTCAGTTGGTGATGTTGTTGTTGTAGAACATGTTCTGAGCTCATGATACTCTTGAGCTCATGGCAATGCAGGCAAGGCTAATGAGTCAAGTATTACACAAAATAAGCCATTCATTATCTTTTATCTTTATCAATCAGGTAATCTTTCTACTCTTATATTTTAAACGTTTTTAGGTATACTGGGTTACTCCGTATTGACTTTATCCAAGTTTTCCGTTACAGATCACGTTAGAGTAAAATGCATATGCTTTTTGTGCGTCTAAATAAATATCAGGAGAGTTGAATTGGGAGTAGTGTTAAAGGGCGGAGAGGTATACATTCTAATTAAATGAAAAAGTGGGTACGACTATGATAGAGTATGTAACCGGTAACATTTCAAACTTTTTTTAGTATTGATGCTTTTTGTTGTGATTAGAAGGTGTTTTGAAGATTCACTTAAAGCTGTGAAAGCTGATATTCGACACGCGTATACTCTGTATGCAACTTATCTTCTTCTCGATTTATTTTTCTCTTCTATTTTTGTGGGGCAGCCCAATGGCTCTTGGCCTATTTTTATTTATTTATGGATTTATTAGAAAGTCTTCAAAGATGAACTTAAAAACAGAAACTAAGGAGGGAATTCGGGGGTTCAACCGCACAGACAAAACGGAAAAGATCAAGACCTTTGAAGTGCAATTTTCTGGACGCTCTTCTTCTGTGCAGTTTTCATGAAGTTATCAGATCGAAGTCTGAACATGCTCCGATTTAGCTGATATTTGGTCAATACCTTCAGGGCATCTGGTTCTTCAATTCCAACGGTTGGATTGTCAATTTCTGCTATGGTTTATGAGATACAGTCACTACACTGAGTCATTGTTTTCTGGTGACGAAATTCATCATATCTCTTGGTTTGATTGTATTGTTGGTTGATTGTATATTGTTGGGTTGTGTACCTTTTGGTGCTCATTGTAAGAAGGATTTTGTATTCAATCTTGACTGTAAGAAAATTAGATTGTGTACCCCAAACAAGTAACAGGATGCTCTCGAGAAGAAAATTAGATTGTTTCTTCTTCAATAGCAGCAACTTGTTCATTTATGTTAAAAGCCTGATCATTTGGGTAGTTATACATATCAATAATCTCCATAATCCTCACAGTTGTTTTCTGGATAATATTATTTTTATATAAAATTTTCATTACGAGAACTAAAATATGATATGATGATCCTTCCTCCACATAGTCAGGGATCAAAACCACAATTTTGCATTCTGTTTTGTTGTTGTTGTAATTCTCGGTGGCAGATGTACTCTTCTAGGAGAAAGTCAATAATAATCTTATTTATTGTATGCCAACAACTTTGATATGATAAAATGATGCTCCTAAACCATCTGTTCCAACACTAGATTCAACTTGAAAACAAAATCTCAATTTCTTGTTAAGTGATGATATGGAAGGGAGTTAATACAATATGTGTAGGTTCATTTGAGCATGATCTTTATTATATTGAAAGGGGAGGTTCTGATAATAATTAAAAAAAATAGAATTGTTAATGAATCTTACTATGAAGACTCGAGTGAGTCATTCAGTTATAGTAATCATTTTTTCTTGTTCTTCTAAGGTCATTTTATTAGGATAGCTAATTTAATTGCACATTTTATTGGCGGTATTGCCTAAACTAGAAGTTATATTAGGATATAATCCGTATCAAGT